CAAGTACCTGACCAACCTCTGCTTTTCTTTCCTTCCTTACCAAATGGCTCAGAGGTATATAATGCAAATTCTGCAGTGTACCCCTAACTCCTTCCAAGTATTCATCCCCTGTACCTCAAAATGTCTGCCTCTATATTTGCCCCTCCTGGCGTGGAGGAAAAGGTGATTTCCGAAGTACTTTTCTTCCTCTGATTTGTCCCACCCCCATTTCTTCTGGAACCCTGCTCTAATGCTTTGAGCTACACCTTCCGTCAACTTGCCACTTTCCTATTACCAAAACACAAATGAAACTTCATTTCTCCCCACAAGGAGAATCCTTCCCCAGCCCTGCTACATCTTCAAGTCACTCTCTCTTCATCACCAAACTTCTCCAAAAAGTGGCTTCACCAGCCCCTTTCCTGTCTACCAAAATTCACACCCTTAACCACAGGAGCTGAATTTCACCCCCATATCCTTAACAAAAATGGAAAAATCCTCAAAGGCCATTACAGGTCCTTCCGCACATCACTCCCATCTCCTTCCCTCCACAACATTTGCCATTCTCCTGGAAACTCACCCTGGATGGTGAGGATGAGCTTCTGCTTCTGTCCATCCACTTGAGCCTTCTCTGGTCCCACTAACTACTCTTTATCCAGTTGCTGCCTCACCCCGCCCACAATTCAAATAGACATAACCTCCCTCAGAGATCCCTGCCAGTAGCTCCCAAACCTTTGCATCCATTCTCAACTTTTCTCCTGGTTTTCATTCTGCCTTTCCAACAGTCTATGAAATAATTTTACACATATATCAGTCTGCTTTATCAAACAGTAAGTCTTCAACTGAAGCTTTAGTCCCAAACATGACCTCACTTCCCATTTTTTTACTGACATCCTCAATCTAAAATGAGTCCTTCTGACTGCTCTCTGTCTCCGCACACTGCTTAATTTCCCTCACTGCCCCAATGTAATTTACTTTGTTCACTTGCCTCCTTTGGACTATATGTAGCATATGTTTAGGAACTATGTCTGTCTTGTTCACCATGGCAAGCACACTGTCTGGTATGTAGCAACCACTCCATACATTTTTTGTATACTCAATATGTCTTTGTTCTTCTAGCTCTTTTCAAATTGCTCTTCTTGAAGTCACCATGTTTCCAAGCCTAAACATCAGCAATGATTGCTTTCCTTGGCCTCCTCATTGAATCACCAAATCCTGACTATCCATCCTTCCATCCTTTATAAGACCATGGCATCTGACCATTCCTTTCCATTTGCACTGCCACTTCAAAAGTCCTTTTTCAGTTAAAAAAAAAAAAAAAAAAAAAAAAAAGCCTTTTTAGCCTATTTCTAAGTCTCTGACCCATCTATTCACTTCCTGAGATTGGGTCTTCCTACAAAATCAATTTGATCCCATGGTCAAAAGCCTTCAGTGCCACCCAACATGCCTTAACTCAAGTCCAGACTTTTGAAGCTGGTGTCCAGATCTTTCATGATCTGGCTCCTAACAGCCTCTCTACTCCTCTGTTTTGCCAGAATCCTTCACATCTCCACAGATCTCACATGCAAAGAATGTGAAACCATGTCTAAAGAAGTATATGAATGATGTTTTCCTTTAAAAAAGTTAATAAATATAAATCATAAAAAGGAAACAAGTAGACAATCTAGAACTGAAAAGTACAACAACTGGAATGAAAATTTTACAAGAGAGCCTCAACAGCAGATCTGAGCTGGCAGAAGAATGTATCAGAGACCAGTGGGACACCAAGTGTACCAACATATGCATAACAAAGTTGTAGGAGAAAAAAGGAGCAAAAAGAATATTGAGAAAATAAAATATCCTGAATTTGATGAAAAATATTAACCTACACGTCTAAGAAATTTAATTAACTCCAAGCAGAATAAACCCAAAGAGATGTACAATGAGACAAATCATAATCAGTCTGTCAAAAGATAAGAACAAAAACAGTGAATTTTCAGAGTAGCAAGAGAAAAGTAGCTCATCACATACAAGGGATCTTCAATAAAATTAATAGCAATTCCTTATCAAAAACCTTGGAGGACAGAAGGCAGTGGGAGGGCATATTCAAGGTGATGAAAAAAGTGACAATCAATAATGCTATACCCAGTAAAAATATTCTTCAAAAATGAATGGGAAAATATAATCTTATATTTGGAAAAACTTAAAGATGACACAAAAAACTATTAGAACTCATAAATTCAGTAAACTTGCAGAATACAAAATCAGCATACAAAAATCAGTAGCATCTCTATATGCCAACAGTGGACAAACTGAAAAAGTAATCAAGAAAGTAATGCCATTTATAATAGCAACAAATAAAATAAAATATCTAGGAATTAACCAAAGAAGTAGAAGGTCTCTACAATGAAAACTATAAAACACTGATGCAAGAAATTGAAGAGGACACCAAAAAATGGAAAACTATTCCAATTTCATGGATTGAAAAAATCAATATGTTAAAATCTCCATACTACCCAAAGCAATCTACAGAGCCAATGCAATCCCTATCAAAATACCAAGGACATTCTTCACAGAAATAGAAAAACAATCTTAAAATTTATATGGAATCACAAAAGACCCAGCAAAAAAAATGTGGAGGAATTACATTGCCTGTTTTCAAATTATACTACAGAGCTATAGTAACCAAAATGGCATGGTACTGGAATGAAAGCAGACACATAGACCAGTGAAACAAAATAGAGAAGCCATAAATAAATCCATGTATCTACAGTGAATTCACTTTTGACAAAGGTGCCAAGATCATACATACATTCTCTTCAATAAATGGTGCTGGAGAAACTGGATATCCATATGCAGAAGATTGAAACTAGACCCCTATTTCTTGCCATATACAAAAACCAAATCAAAATGGATTAAAGGCTTAAATCTAAAACCTCAAACTACAAAACAACTAAAAGAAAACATTGGGGAAACTCTCTAGGACATTAGAGTGGGCAAGATTTCTTGAGTAATACCCCACAAGCACAGGCACCAAAGCGAAAATGGACAAATGGGATCAAATCAAGTTAAAAAGCTTCTGCACAGCAAAGGAAACAATTAACAAAGTGAAGAGACAACACACAGAATGGGAGAAAATATTTTCAAACTGCTCATCTGACAAAGGATTAATAAGCACAATATAGAGCCCAAACAACTCTACAGGAGAACTAATTATTCAATTAAAAAATGGACAAAGATCTGAAGAATCATTTCTTAAGAGAAGATATACAAATGGCAAACAGGTATATAAAAAAGTGTTCAACATTGTTGATCATCAGAGAAATGCAAATCAAAACTATAATGAGATATCTCACCCGAGTTAAAATGGCTTTTATCCAAAAGACAGGCAATAACAAATGCTATAGAGGATGTGGAGAAAAGGGAACCCCCATATTACATTCCCACTGGTGGGATCTCATGTAACCCACAAATCATGTAACCCATCTCATGTAAAACATCTCATGTAACCCACAAATACATACACCTACTTTGTACCCACAAAAATTAAAAATTCATTTTAAAAAAGATTCAAGGAAAATGTGTGTTTGACGCATATGTATTTTAATGGTTTCAGTTTTCACGGGGAGAAAACTTAATTACCTATATTGACAAGCTTGATATCTCCCATGCTTTTATCCATTCCCTCTTCTGGAATATTTGTCTTCCTCAAGACCAGTTCATCAGTAAAATCTAGAATATGTCAATTGAGCCTAGGAGGTCATCCAGCAACAGAAAGCTTGTCAAAATAGGAACCGTTTCCATTCCTACCACTGGATGGGTCTAAAATGAGTACTGCTGCCATCAGCAAGACCCTCTAAGACTCTGAGACATAGCTCAGGGTAGCAGCTTTATTTGAGTCATCCCCCTGCAAGGACAGGAGCCTCTCTTACTTCCTCCTCCCTCTTGTGCCTAGCTCTGGCTAAGGGTACTTAATAAGACTATACCCTTCCCAGAGCCACAGTGTTTCATGCTGTGACTAGCCGACACACAGAGACTTTTGCTGCCAAATCTGCCTCCAAGCCACACCCTCTGGAAACTGTCACAGCCTGTGCTGAGCCCAAAACTCTTTGAGCCTGTCTTTTACCCACAGGCCTCCATGATGGTGCCCTTTGGGCTGAGCCAGGGTCTGGAAGGACACTCTTCTCCTTGTCTCCGTTGGATACTCTTGCCTGGGTAGATGTGAATGCAGGTCATCCATGCTAGGGGCACAGTGCCTAGCAACTGAATTCACACAGAAATCATCTGTCTCTCTAGTTTTTCCTCAAAATTGTACAGAACTGGTATGACAGGATAACATTTTTAATGAAATATTTTCAATGAAACTATAATTTATCTTTTTGTCTCTTCCTATTTGTCTTAATCCATTTTGTATTTCTACAACAGAATATTACAGAATGGTAATCAAGAAAATACATTTATTTCTTACAGTTTTGGAGGTTGGGAAGTCCAGGTCAAGGGGCCTGCAGCTCACAATCTCAGCTCACTGCAACCTTCTCCTGCCTCAGCCTCCTAAGTAGCTGGGATTACAGATGCCCACCACCACACCCAGTTGTGGGCATGGTGGTGGGCATCTGTAATCCCAGCTACTTAGGAAAAAGCTAATTTTCTTTCATATTTTTAGTAGAGATGGGGTTTCACCATGTTGGCTAGGCTGGTCTCAAACTCCTGACCTCAAATGATCCACCTGCCTCGGCCTCCCAAAGTGCTGGGAGGGATTACAGGTGTGAGCCACCGCTCCCGGCCAGCAACTTGCCTCTCAGGCAGTCTTGCTCTTGCACAGACACACATATTAGTTCAGCTCACCTCCCATTTGCCTCTTTTGGTTGCTTCAGCAAACTGTCCTATTTTCCCAATGGAAATGTATAAATAACCAGTTGAACTGAAGGATCCAAAATAATACTTTGAGGCTACTCTTGAAGCCCATTCATAAGCTGTCCTTAGAGGAAAAAAAAAAGTAGAGTTCAAGTTTGAAGGCAAAAAAATACAAATTGGGAAACTTATGATTTGAAATTTGAAACAAACAAAAACATTTATTGCTCTTGGGTTGGTCCTACAAATCTTGATCAATGTTTAATGCGACCTAAAAGCAAAACAAAAAGTAAATATGCCTTAATACAGTTAGAACTGTGAAAAGGCACAAGCCAAAGAAATAAAGCTTAGGTAACTTCTATGTGACTACATGAATGAAATTTTGGGGAGTTTCAGATGATTTCAAATGATATGCAAATTGAATATAACCATAAATTATGTTCTCAAAGTAGTTATTGTTTCATCCTTTCTTCTACTTCTCTTACTATGTGTTCTCATCCTTCTCGTAGGCTCCTTTTCCTGTGGCCATCCCTTCAGTGTTGGAATTGCTAATGGTTCCTCCCTGAGCCCCCAGGCCTTCACACACTGCACACTCTCCTAGGTGCCTTACTCACTCCCCTTGCTTCATTCAGCACATATGCCCATGACTGCTGAATTTATATCTCCGGCCTGGGCCCCCTTCCTAACATCAACTGTTCTTGGCTATTTTCACCTGCGTATCTCGGAGCCACCTGAGAGTCAACATCTCTGCAACTGAAGTCATCAGTTTTTAAAAACCTGCTTCCTCTTCTTATGTTCATCAACTCATCAAATGGTAACACTCTTAACTCAGTAGCCCAAGGAAGACATTTAGGCTTCATCCGGACCCTGCCCCGCACTGATCCTGTGAGCCAGTCTTAAATCCACTCAGTTCCCTCCATCTCTGCTGTCTAACCCTAATCATCTTACATCTGGATCAGTGCAATAACTTCCTAAGTGGTCTCCCTTTTTCCACTCCTGTTCCACACCAATCCTCTCTCCACCTTATAAAACACAGATTGACTCTTTAAGTCCTTTCAGTAACTCCTACCGCACCTAAGTCCAAAATCCCTAAGGCAACATACACGACCCAGTGTGCTCTGCCTTTATCCACCTCTCCAGCTTAAAATCATACCATTTTCCTAGCTCCACGCACCTTAGCCATTAATACTGGACGACTTCAGTCCCTTGAAAGCATCTTGCTGTCTCTATCCTCTGGGCTCATCTCAGGCTAATTCCTTGAATTTCACCTCCTCAGGAAGACTTGTCCAGCCCCGCTCAAGTCTCTCCCTACTCTGTCCCTCAAAGAACCTTCCCCATTGACCCATGTCCCCCAAGGGCAGAAGCCCAATTCATTTTGTTCATTGGCATTTTCTAGCTCCTTGCATAGTGCCAAATCATAGCTGACATTTAATAAAACTTTAAACAATTAACACTGAGTCTGTGCAGCTCCACTTTCTGAACAGCTCTTGAAAATAACATTTACTTCAGGCCATCAACATCTTGTCCCCTAGATTACTACCTCCTAAGCCGTCTCCTGACACCTACTTCTCCATTTTCTTCCCCACACTGTTGCCAGATGGTCTTTGCAAAATGCAGTTCTCATCATATGAGCCTCTACTGCCTTTGGGATAAAATCTAAGCCTCTGAACAGAAATGACAAGTGCTTTCATGGTCTGGCCCCTATTTTCTCCTGGCCTCAGCTCTCACCCCTCCCTGCCTCACTCCCTCTACACTCTCTCCTATCTGGGTCTTCACACCTTCCGTGCTCTCTGCCTGGAGCACTACCCTCGGCCTCCCATGCCACCAGTGAGTAGCAAATCATTAGCTTCCTTCCCTGACTGAGGTTCCTCAACTGTGCTGGCTGTCCCTCCTTGTTAGTGTACACGAATTAAAGTGACCAAAATGTACCCTTCTTCCAGGACAGTCCTGGCTTACATCTGCTGAGCCGGCTCTCATTCTCAAAAGCATACTGGTTTGGACAATAAATTACGTGGTCCTGCTAACCATGACTATTAAATGCTCATCTAATTGTCTGTTTCTCCCCTGACAATAAACTCCACAAGATCAAAGCCATCTGCCTTATTCACCACACCATCGGGCATAGTGCCTGGCATATGGAAGATGTGGTATGTTTGTTAAATAAACAAATGTACTTACATACTGGAGAAGCATGCACTCTCATTAAGGCATTCATTTGGTTCCAGGGTTTGTTACTGAGGACCAAAGTCGTGCCCCCTACACCAAATTTAAAGATCGTGTATTTCACAAAATGATTTTAAAACATATTTTGAAGAGATTTTGAGGTCACAGATACAGAGATATAGATAAGCCAGTGACACACTTCACAAAAGGGCAGAATGCCAATTAGGAATATAATCGGCAACCAGGGAACTGATTTTCTCTGAAGCAAAAGGCCCGTTTGCCAACCAATCCTGGCCTAGCCTCATTTTCCCTAGGCTTTACCTAAGTGAAAAAATCAAAAACAAAAACAAAAAAGAGCTTTTTAAAAAACACGCTGATACTGACATCAGAAAACATTGGTTCATCAAGTTCTTCCACTCTGCTCAAGTTAGGTGCTCCATAACGATCACTGATTTCAGCTAGTGTTTTGCCTGAGTCTAGTGTTGCTTCCTACAATCAAAAAATTGATGTTTACTTTTAAATTATTTCAAAATTAATACATTACTTTTCTTTCAATTTTGATTAAAAATTTTCTGATTTATAACATCAAAATTCAACATTATTAATTAGTGGAATTAACCAATTTCTGTTAATGACAAGAGAATTCTGGTAATGAATTGAGTATCCTAGAATATAAAGCTAGAATTTCGGCAATAAATGCTAAAACTTTTTTTTAAATACCTGCAGAAATTTAAAATAATTGTAAGTAATTATGTGGTAAATAGCTTCAATATCTCAAGAGAGCCTAGTTTTTTAAAATCCAAACACAAATTGAATGTCCAATTTTTACCTACTGTGAGATTTTTCTTCAAAGCACATTATTTGTGACTTGTTATTACCAGAAAATATATATGGACTATCAGTTTTGATAATATACTTGCTAAAAATTTAGCTACTTATGCATCAAAATTAAGCTTAAATTATAGCATACTCAATTAATTTCACATAACATAGAATGACTTTTTCTTCTCACCTCTGAATGTAGAGTATCTTCACTCTTAACTAGATTTTCCATATTCATTCTCATCTCCTATAATATATAAAAATTAAGAAAATACTTTGAATATACTTCATTTTGATTTCATATTTCATTTTTGGCATTTTTATTTTTACACAATGCTATGATCAATTTAAAGCAAAAATGCTGTCACTCTGAAGGAGAATGATCTGATTACACATTACAAAACTGCAGATCACAGTCTTATCTAATACTCTATACTAATAGAAGGCAACCATGTTTTATATATAATTAAATAAAACTTTTTAAAAAGTGAAATGGACTGAAACATTTAAACTGAAGCCAAATTATCTGCCAATATAAAAACTGACAAAATAAAAATTATAATAGGACCTTAGAACAAGAGATTTTAAAGAGAAACTACACTTAAGTAGAGTTTTGCACATCATGAGAAAGAAGTAAACACTTCTACAGGAACTAATCTGACCCAATGCAGAGGGACCTGAGCAATGCCCTCTTTAATACTCTGAGCACTGCAGTAGGAATGTACTGCCAATATGGGAGGCCTCTTTCTGAATGTGAAAATATTCTTCTAGCCAGCCAAACCTTGCTATGCCATCTACCTTTTCATTCTAAAGCAGCACGGTGGCCTAACTGACCCTGAGCTGACTCATTTTGGCTGCTAGAACACCAGTGATTTCTTGATCATACATATGGTTACCCTAATGATAGGAACATAAACAGCACTGTTTTCCCAAGACCACTCCATTTTCCTGGTAACTTCTTATCCAGCATCCACAAGGCTATATTGGGAACATCCATATTCTTATAGGACTATGTTCCCGCACCACAGAGATGGATATTTGACACAAACTAAGTCAGTCAGAATCCTTCTCCGAGATTCTTTTCGTAACTGAAACCAAAACCAGGCATCCATTCCTCTTAGATGGTAGAAGCCACAACATTCTAAGACTCAGAAGCCATTAAGGCTCATGTTTCCCACCCATGTGTAGCAAAGCAGCCCATAGTGAAAGAGTGAAACTAACAACCAGGGGAACAGCAGAGGGGAGAGCCCTGGTAGCATCTGATTCTCTTGCTCCCAAAGTCTGAAAGGCCCAGTGATACCAAGTCCTTCGCAGTTTATTAAACCCTTCCTTCAACCCAGAATCCTTCCAGCAAATTTTCCTTTGCACATGATAGTTTACACTGCGAGTCTGCAGCCATAAGAAAGCCAGGGGAAAGGACAGGAGTGGACTCATTTCTTAGCAATGTGCGAGGGAGTGGTACTTTGCCGGGGAGTACCTATGCTATGGTGAGGGATGATAAGCCTATAGAAATAGGAATTACTAAAGTTATTGTGGCTCTGATCACACAAGCTGCTGATGCCTAGAGATAGTAAAATAACATGAGTGTGGCTCTCTGGAGCCACAAAATAGAGACCAATCCTTCCTATAGACTTTTAAGCACTTTAATGTAGCTATCAGATCACTTTGATTTAAAAATATTTTAAATTCCTTTATTTTGATCACTGCCTTCTTGATATGTTCCTGTATTTTCTCTTTCAGTTTAGATCTGTGAATCTCTTTCAAAAATTATTTAATTTTTAATTTTTACTGACATATAATAGCTGTACATATTTACAATGTACATGCGATATTTTGATACAAGCATACAATATGTAATGATCAAATCAGAATATTTGAGATATCCATCACCTTAAACATCATGTCTTTGTGAATCTTTTTTTTTTTTGAGACGGAGTCTCACTCTGTCGCCCAGGCTGGAGTACAGTGGCGAGATCTCAGCTCACTGCAAGCTCTGCCTCCTGCCTCCTGGGTTCACGCCATTCTCCTGCCTCAGCCTCCCGAGTAGCTGGGACTACAGGCGGCCACCACCACGCCTGGCTAATTTTTTTGTATTTTTAGTAGAGATGGGGTTTCACCATGTTAGCCAGGATAGTCTTGATCTCCTGACCTCGTGATCTGCCCACCTTGGCCTCCCAAAGTGTTGGGATTACAGGCGTAAGCCACGGTGTCCGGCCCTTTTGTGAATCTTAAAGACAAAGGGGATGCTTGTGTATGTGTGCATACAGGCATATCCCTGTGCTCGCACTACGCTCAGACTAAGACAGCATCAGCATCTGTATTTTTTTAAACTATGTATAGGGCTTTTATCCTTTTAAAAAAATCTCACTTTTTGATTTAATTCACCATTCGTACTTTTTAAATATTGCTTTAATAAATGATTCTCTCATCTAGGCGTCAATAAACATAATGAACATTGTCTATAAAACCTGCTTCTTTTTTCAGTTTTAATTATGGAATAAAAAGGGGGAGCGACATTTGATTAAGAGATAGTAGCTATAAATTCAGTCATCTAGAATATTGGTCTATATGACTCATAGCTTTTGGATGCAGGAAATATGGGTCAAACTCGAGACCTGACATGATACAGACACAACCAATGAAGATGGGCTTTCTTGAAATAAGTTACTTTAGGCCGGGTGTGGTGGCCCACATCTGTAATCCTAGCAATTTGGGAGGACAAGGTGGGCAGATTGCCTGAGCTCAGGAGTTCGAGATCAGCTTGGACAATATGGTGAAACCCTGTCTCTACTAAAAATACAAAAAATTACCCAGGCATGGTTGTGCGTGCCTGTAATCCCAGCTACTCAGGAGGCTGAGGCACGAGAATTGCTTGAACCCAGGACGTAGAGGTTGCAGTGAGCTGAGATCACGCCACTGCACTCCAGCCTGGGTGACAGAGTGAGACACTGTCTCAAAAAAAAAAAAAAAAAAAAGTTACTGCATAGTTTATTTTAATGAAAGGCATGAAAGTCCATGTATGAACATATTTTAAAATGTAAATTCTTGTTGTTAATACACTAACATAAAGACATAGACTACTGCCTCTGAGATCGGAATACCCTCAATATTCACATCAGCTAATATAACTAGGAACAGCTAGCTCTTGACTAAAATGTTGAGGGTATCACTATTAGAGAACCCTACTACTCACAGAGAACTTTCACAAACACTTGTATAAGAATCCAGTGAGACATTGCTAATAGTATTATACTGCTAGCTCTAGTTTTGAAACAGGTAAACTGAGACTGAAAAAGGTCATGAGACTTGTTTAGCTTACACAGCTAATATGTGGCATGTCTTCAGACTACAAATCCCATGGTCCTTCTGCCAACAGCTGAAATAAACAGTTTGAAGATTCTAGAGAGTTTTAAATAAAACTGACATTTATAAAACTTCAAATTACCTTGTCTAATTGTTCTTGAGCTCTCTGTAGTTCTTGTATTCTCTGCCTCTCTTTTTCTTGCATTTCCAACTCCAGCTGCAATGCCAGCTGTTGCTGAATATTCAGAAATATGTCATATTACAGTTAGATTAATTGCAAGATAATTAAGTTTACACCCACCTTCCTTTCAGAAACTTACAATAAATGGTCACATCCAACTAATACTTTAGTTTCTACAAAAGTTTCCTGAAGCATAAAATTTTTAAAAAAGATTTTAATCTTCCTTAATTGCAAATTATAGAAAGCATAATTTGTACAAAATCATATTCTCTTTTCTTCTTAAAGTAACAAATGAGATTGCAATAACTTTCCAGATAAATTTCTTTAAGCATAGATGGGTCTTCAAATAGCCACACATTGGTTGTAGAAGAGTGAGTGAGAAACTCTTCAGAATATCATCTGATAGCTCATGCCTATAATCCCAGCACTTTGGGAGGCCAAGGTGGGCAGATCATTTGAGGTCAGGAATTTGAGAAGAGCCTGGCCAACATGGTGAAACCCTGTCTCTACTAAAAACACAAAAATTAGCTGTAAAAAAGATTACAGGGTGGCACACGCCTGTAATCTCAGCTACTCGGGAGGCTGAGGCAGGAGAATCGCTTGAACCTCGGAGGTGGAGGTTGCAGTGAGCCGAGATTGTGCCATTGCATTCCAGCCTAGGCAACAGAGTAAGACTCCCTCAAAAAAGAAAGAAAAGAAAAGAAAAGAAAAGAAAAGAGAAGAAAAGAGAAGAGAAGAGAAGAGAAGAGAAAAGAGAAAAGAAAAGAAAAGAAAGAAGGAAGGAAGGAAAGAAGAAAACAAAAGAAAAGAAGAAAAGAGAGTATCATCTGAAATCATGACTAACCAACAATATATTTGCTCCCAACTCAGCATATCTGTCACACTAGGATAGGGTTCAGCAATAAAGCCTGTGGGCCAAAGCCAACCCAACTCCTATTTTTTACAGCTTACAAACAAAGAATGGCTTTTACATTTTTAAATGGAAAAATTTAAAAGAAATAATATTTCATGATATAGGAAAATGGTATGAAATTTAAATTTCAGCATCCTTAACTAAAGCTTTATTGAAACACAGCCATGCCCATTTGTTTACGTATTGTCTATGAGTGCTTTTGTGCTGCCACAGCAGAGTGTAGTCGTCGTAGCAGAGACCACATGTGGTGCACTCACCACTTTGCCTGGCTGCCCAGCACCCTACAAACTACAGTAACATTATTGTAACAGCAGTGTTTGGAGTACCATGGTATCACTATACTGTGACATTTAAAAAAATTATATCCATTATGTCAAAACAAGAAAGTCAGGGATGGGTGGCTCATTCCTGTAATCCCAGCTACTCAGGAGTGAGGCAGGAGGATTACTTGAAGCCAGGAGTTCAAGACCAGCCTGGGCAGCATAGTGAGACCCCCATCTCTAAACAAAATTTTGAGATAAAAAAAGAAAACAAGTGAACTTTGAATGTCGCACTTTTAAGGCACACTGGAGTGTGTATTATTTTGTCATCAAATTAAATGGCAAAATATGTTTCCCACTATATAGTGCCACTGTGCTAAAAGAATATAATAAATATCAACATTACCAGACTGAGCACTCATCACAATAGTCCCAGCTCACTGAGCACAAAGGTCAGAAAAATTAGAAAATTTAAAACAGAATTGGCTGGGCATGGTGGCTCACACCTGTAATCCCAGCACATGGGAGGCCTGAGGTCAGGAGTTCGAGATCAGCCTGGCCAACATGGTGAAACCCCGTCTCTACTAAAAATATCAAAAAAAATTTAGCCAGGCAGGTGCCTGTAGTCTCAGCCACTTGGGAGGCTGAAGCAAGAGAATCACTTGAACCCGGGAGGCAGAGGTTGCAGTGAGCTGAGATCGCGCCACTGCATTCCAGCTTGAGTGACAGAACGAGACTCTGTCTAAAAAAAAAAACAAAAGCAGAATTATCACAGCAGAATTTCTTTACAACACTTATAAATGAAAATAAGTCTACAACAAAAGTAGGGTTCCAAGTAGCTCATTTGTTATGCAAGCAAGGAAACATATTTACCAATGGTGGGTAAATTAAAACATGTTTTATTTCAGTGGCCAGAAAAACGTGTCCAGGAAAAAACAAACTTGTCTAAGATTTTAGCCTTTTGGTGAGAATAGCTGCTGAGTTGACACTGGGAGCAACATCAATAGTCAACTAAAAACAAGGCACATGATTCTGAGTGCCTTTCCTTGGCTCCTGATAAGTAGACAGATGTTCCTGACACTGCTCAGTTGTTCATGGAAAGGGTCAATACTGAGTTTGAAGTGCCTGAAAAACGAAACCTCTATGAATAGTCTTTGATATGGTTTGGCTGTGTCCCCATTCAAATCTCAACTTGAATTTTATCTCCCAGAATTCCCAAGTGTTGTGGGAGGGACCCAGAAGGAATCATGGGAGCTGGTCTTCCCTGTGCTATTCTTGTGATAGTGAATAAGTCTCATGAGATCTGATGGGTTTATTAGGGGTTTCCACTTTTGCTTCTTCCTCATTTTCTTTTGCTGCCACCATGTAAAAAGTGCCTTTCGCCTCCCACCATGATTGTGAGACCTCCCCAGCAATATAGAACTGTTAAGTCCAATTAAACCTCTTTTTCTTCCCAGTATTGGGTATGTCTTTATCAGCTGCTTGAAAACGGACTAATACAGTCTTCATGGAACAATTACAGGCAAGAGTATTTTCAAAGTCGTGTAGAAACACCAATTCAATACAACCTGCAGTGAAATCTGCTAAGATGTGTTACAGCTGACAGTGATAAAAATACGTGTGGAATAGAAAAAGGCTGAGCTGAACAAATTTACAGAGCTCATGAGAAAATGGAGTGTTTAAAGACAGTAAGTGGTCAGCATATTACTCAACAGCAGCTACCCTGTGAAAGTATCTGAATCTATGATGTGTTATTGAGCCAGCGGTGTCAACAGTGACCTTCATTCACTCTTGTAAACTGGACCATCAGTTCCGTGAATTTTTGTCAGAAACAGAAGCTGAATATATCCTGATGTCCTACCACACAGCAATTCCATGGCTTAACAGTTATATTATGAATTTTTGAGCTCAGGGCCAAGATTTAACTTTTTATTGTGTAAATTGAAGTTGCATATAATGTTTTGATATAGATATACATAGTGAATGCTTACCACAGGTAAGCAATTTCAATATCCATCATCTTAGACAGTTACTTTTGTATGGTAAGAGCACCTAAAATCTACTCTTAAAAAATTTCCAATACATAATACAATCTTATTTGTTATCATCCTCATGATGTACTTTAGATCTCTACATTTATTCATACTGCATAATTGCAATTTTGTACCTTTTGACCTACATCTCCTCATTCTTCTTCCAGGCCTACCCCCACTCCACCTCTTGGGAACCACTGTTCTAGTCTCTGTTTTTATGTATTCAGCTTTTTTTTTTTTTTTTTTAAAGATTTCCACATAGAAGCATGTGGTATTTTTCTTTTGATGTCTGGTTTATTTCACTTAACATCACGTCCTTCAGTTTCATCCATGTCATCACAAATGGCAGGATCTACTTTTTTCTTAAAGTTGAATAATATTCCTTTATATATACATATATGTGATACATATATGTGAGATATATATACAAGATATACATGAGAAATACATCTTACGTTTTTTCGAGACAGGGTCTTGCTCTGTCACCCAGGTGGGAATACAGTGGCGCCGCCTCAACCTCTGGGGCTCAAGCAATCCTCCCACCTCAGCTTCCTGAGTAGCTGGGACCACAGGTGCATGCCATCATCATCATGCCTGGATAATTTTTACATTTTCTCTAGAGATGAGGTCTCCCTATGTTGTCCAGGCTGGTCTCGAACTCCTGACCTCAAGTGATCCTCAGGCCTTGGCCTCCTAAAGTACTGGGATTACAGGTGTGAGCCTTTGTGCCCAGCTCACAATTTCTTTATCCAGTCATCCACTGACAGACATTTAGGTTGTTTCCAAATCTTGGCTATTGTAAATAATGCTGTGATGGATATGGGAGTGCAGGTAATCTCTATGAGGTGCTGGTTTCGTTTCCTTTGAATATATACTGAGAAGAGGAATTACAGGGTCATATGGTAGCTTTTAATTTTTTGAAATACACCCATACCGTTTTGCATAATGGCTGCACCAATTTGTATTCCCATCAACGGCATATAACAGTTCACTTTTCTCCACACCCTCACCAATATGTGTCTCTTCCCTTTTTTTTTTTTTTTTGCACTCACCCAGGCTGGAGTGCAGTGGCGCGATCTTGGCTCACTGCAAGCTCCACCTCCCGGGTTCACACCATTCTTCTGTCTCAGCCTCCTAAGTAGCTGGGACTACACGCGCCTGCCACCATGCCTGACTAATTTTTTGTATTTTTAGTAGAGATGGGGTTTCACTGTGTTAGCAAGGATGGTCTCGATCTCCTGACCTTGTGATCCACCCGCCTCAACCTCCCAAAGTGCTGGGATTACAGGCGTGAGCCACTGCGCCTGGCCATGTCTCTTCCCTTTCTGATAACAGTCATCCTAGGCCGGGCACGGTGGTTCATGCCTGTAATCCAAACACTTTGGGGGGCCAAGGTGAGTGGATCACCTGAAGTCAGGAGTTCAAGACCAGCCTGGCCAACATGGCGAAACCCCGTCTCTACTAAAAATACAAAAAAAAAAAAAAATTAACCTGGTGTGGTGGCGGGTGCCTGTAATCCCAGCTACTCAGGAGGCTGAGGCAGGGGAATCGCTTGAACCTGGGGAGTAGAGGTTGGAGTGAGCTGAGATCATGCCACTTCACTCCAGCCTGGGTGAAAGAGCAAGACTTCGTCTCCAAAAAAAAAAGAAAAAAGAAAAGAAAGCAGTCATCCTAATAGGGGTGAGGTGGTATCTGATAGTGGTTTTGATTTGATTTGCACTTCCCTGATGACTAGTGGTGTTGAACATTACCTGTCACTTTTAATAATATATCTGTTGGCCATTTTTATATCTTCTTTAGAGAAATGTCTATTTAGGTCCTTTGCCCATTTTTTAATTGGGTTACTTTTTTTTTTTTTTTTTTTTTGCTATTGAATTTGCATTCCTTATATATTTTGGAGATTAACTCCTTATCAGATATATGGTTCACAAAATTTCCTCCCAATCCATAGGCTGCCTTTTCGCTTTGCTGATTGTTTGCTATGCAAGAGCATTTTAGTTTGACCTAGTCCCATTTGTTTAGGTTTGCTTTTATTGCCTGTGTTTTTGGTGTCATATCCAAAAAATCATTGCCAAGACCAATGTCAAGGAGCTTTTTCCACAGTATGTTTTCTTCTGGGAGTTTTACAGTTCCAGATCTTCCATTCGGTCTTTAATCTATTTTGAACTGAGTTTTGTGTATGGTAGAAGACAAGGATCCAGTTTCATTCTTTTCCATGTGGATATCCGGTTGTCCCAACACCATTTATTGAAGAGACTATCCTTTTCCCTTTGTGTTTTCTTGCAGGGCTTGTCAAAAATTAGTTGACTGTATATACTTCGGCTTATTCCTGGGGTTCTCTATTCTGTTCCACTGGTCTATGTGTCTGTTTTTATGCCAATACCATACTGTTGTAATTACTATGGCTTTATAATATTATTCTGGATCAAGTAATTTGATACTTCCAAGTTCATTTTTCTTTCTCAGGATTGCTTTGGCTATTCAGGGTTTTTTGTACTTCCATACAAATTTTAGAATTGGGTTTTTCTATTTCTGTGAAGAATGCCATTGGAATTTTGATAGGGATTGAGATGAATCTGCAGATTATTTTAGGGAGTATAGACAGTTTAACAATACTAACTCTTCTGATATATGAACACAAGATATCTTTCCGTTTGTGTCTTCCTCAATTTTTTGCATTAGTGTTTTACAGTTTTCAAGGTATAGATGTTTCACCTCCTTGGTTAAATTTATTCCTAAGTATATTATTCTTTTTGAAGCTATTATAAATAAGATTGTTTTCTTGGTTTCTTTTTCGAGTAAGTTATTGGTAAACAGGATTTAAATTTTTCTTAATGAGAAGAAATACTCTCAACCACTGTTATCAAACATTCAATAGATTTGGAAATTAGCTTTGGCTGCAGACTTGATAATGTTTCATAATTCATTCTAAAATTACACGGCAAAACATCACTCATGTGTAAAACTTACACTGCAGTAAACTCACTTCAACAACAACTCGTGTTGTTTGAATCACAAGTAATATAAAGCTGCTTTATACACTTCCAGTGCTGTTAAAACTAGAACAAGGTATTAGATCTTCGTTCCCAAACAAATTGGCAGTGGATGTATTTTCCAACCTCGAACTACAATTCCAGAGTGTTTGTAAGGCCTCAATGTAAGTGCAAAGGAAATTTCCATATTTCAAAATCCATTTATGCAATTAAGAAACTTCCATCAACCTTCAGTTGGAAGTGGCTATTCTACAAAGTAATGCACGCTAAAAGGCAAACAGCAAGAGAAAAATATAATAGAATTCTAGAAATACCTTCTAAGGAATAAATATGCTCAATTTAAATTGTACACACATAGACTGATAGCAATTGTTGACAGTAACTATGTATGTAAAAAGACATTTTCAAGGATGAAATACATAAAACCTCATTACAGGTCAGCATTAGCAGATAAACATTTTTAAATAGATTTTGATGATAGACCACACTAACGCTGAACTTCAACCAAGTGAGATGTTATCTTTTAAAATTTTTTTTAAGCTCTCAATAGTAAACCTGTCTAACAAAAAATTTATATTCAATGAGTGTTTGAATTCATCAATAAAACATTTGCGAAAATTCATTTTCTCTCTTACTATTCCTACATAATATGCCATAATGCCTTCATAATATCCTCAAATTTGCCTCTTGGCCTGCAAAGCATAAAATGTCTACTATCTGACAATGTATTCTAAAATAATAATTTTTTGCAAGTAAAGACATAATAAAGTGATTAATATCTCATTTGCAAAAGGTTTTTAAAGGTAATTCTTGGTATTCCTATATTATCCCCACTAAGAAAAAAGTGATGGGGTAGGTAGCTGAAATGCAGAAACAGTTTCAATCAACTTTCAGACACTGATAGAGGAAGTTAAATAACTCCAATCTCTCAACAATAATGCAAAGTGTACTTGTTAAATAACAATCAGATTGATCAAAATAACCAGTTTCTTGACATTTTCAAGAAACTTCCAAAACCTAATCTTTCTTCACACGTGAGCAAAACCACTCAAAGCCATTCAAAACAAATAAAAAACAAAAATGCTCTCACTTCAAAATTAAGTTCTTACATAGAAAATGGCAATAAAAATACTTCCCTGTTCACAAAAAACTAGGCTTGCTGGAGAGTGCCTAAAATGTCAAGGAATTTCAAGTCAGCGGTACTGACTATGAGGACAACTGCTTTTGCAACCAGCAAGGAAATAACCAGAGTTCCCAACCTCCAGCTCCCATGACTCAGAAGGTATCCAGAGGCCTCTCTGTTTTTCTTCATCTCAGCCACACTCTCTCTTAAGCCTTTCTCTGTTGATTGATCTCTCCTATCTATTTCTGCACACCAATCCACTCCATTAACTGGCCATAACATCTCCTGCATAATATTATTTTATCTTCCACCCTAATACAATACTTAGGATTCAATACACAGTGGATTAGTTCATACTGGTCAACATAATATGGCTAGAGAAACTTTTTATTGCTAGTATTGCCAAATTATACACAAGTAAGATAAAGTAGGTGAGCCAAAGAGAGTTAAGTATCTCCCACTTATGATGTAATTGCCTTGGGGAAGCAGAACCGCTGGGAATTCTCTGATTTTTGATAGAAAGGGACAGATACCAGCTATAGGAGCTTTAAGAGGAAAGATGGTTCCTCATCCACGGTTGTAGCTGCTGCAGGAAGCACCTGGCCTGTTTGGATGACAGTTTGACACCCAATTCAACACTTTTTAACCTCCCCTCAAGAATAAGCCAATGACTGAAAATGAAGACTCAGAAGCAGTAGAGTTTTCAACAGCCCTATCCTTCTAAGGGGCCTGCAGTTTTCTACCTCAATATCAGGGATAGGAAGTTAGTCAGAGAAGCTATTTGCCAGGTCTATATTTTTCTTTTTATCTGCATACCCAAATAATAGACTTCTTTCCCCATTTTAAATATGTAAACTTGAGTCAAGACTCTGGAGTTAAGCATTATCTGGTAGAACTATAGAAGTGGCTTAAATTTAGCTTAGAAGCTCTCTATAAATTAAATCAGTCCAGAAGCCACTCTGGAACTTTCTTCTCTCCAGCTTGTACTCCATGACTCATCCCTTCAACAATTCCCTTACCAATATCTTCAGCTCCCTAATCATGCTACCCCAATCCTGCTTCAGTTAAAAGGTCCGCCTGCTCCACTTCTTCACTCAGACATCTGGGCGCAAGTGAAGAGAATCACATAATCACATAACCAAACCAAATGGCACGATTGATCTCCAACTGCTACCAAGTAATGCTAAATTATATCCCTCAACTCTTCTCTTCCATCCTCCAAAGCTGCCATTTCTAACCTTCACCACTCTGCCCATACCTCCTACCTTACACCCTCATTCTCAGCAGATGATCATGGTGCCTACTTCATAAAGAAGATGGAAACTGTTGTACACAGAAGGTGCTTCCACCAACACCATTCTCTCCTCTTTCCGTGGATCATAATCAAAGAAGTGCCTTCTGCCTGCCTAACCTATGATCTGGGCCCATTCCCTCTCATCTCCATGGCAAGCTGACCCTATGAATCATCCACTCTATTTCCTGATGTCATCCACTCACTCCTCCACTACTGTGCTCTTAAACACAAAAGCATCTCTCCTTGCTCTCAAAATCTTGAAAGCACTGCCTACTTTTTCCATCTCCCCTGCCTAACTCCACCCACCCCACCACTCCATCCACACTATTCCCACCAAATTACGGTGGCCTCTGATGAACGCTTTTCCATTCAGCAATAGATATGGTTGACCACTCAGATCTCATCAAAACACTCTTTCCCTTTGCCTTCTGTGACAGCACACTCTCTAAATTTTCCTCTTACCAGGAGGTATGGCATCTTTTGTATCAGCAACAGCAGTGTAGAAAGGAATGTGTATGTATGTATACAAGAATGCAGTCAGGAAAACTCATGGCTGCTGCTTCTCCAGCAAAGAAGACACACACATCCATAAAGATGAAGATATTAGGAAGCCATATCTAAGTAACTGGAGATGGGAAGTTTATCAGCATTTGGGCTGTGCCACGCTGAGGTTGGCATCGTTAATTCCAGTCCCCTCTGAACTATCCTACTTGTCTCACCTGCTGAAGTAAGAGCTCCTCTGCTTTGAGCCTCTCCATCATTTCCTGCTCCATCAGAGCTAATTCTCTTTCATGCTCCAGCTCTGCCATTTCCTTTTGTCTCTAGCATTGTTTAAAAACAACAGCACATGACTTCTTAGAGAGAAAGCAATTTGTAAAAGCAATCTTGAAAGCATTTAATAGAGACAATTAGGGAAAGGGTTAAGCAAATTATAGCCCATCCCTTTGGAAATGATATAATAATTTGGGAAGATATTTTATCTGAATAATGAGCACAATATTAAAGTTATACATTGTGTATGATCAGAAGTGCATAAACAAATCTACAAATCTATAGAAAAAATACTTCCCATGAAAGGAATTACCTAAAAATCTAAATAGAAGTCTTCTTTGGGTACTGTTTTCTCCTTCCTACTTTTCATGTTGTTCAAGTTTTTGTATAATAAACATTATTTTTATAACAGAAAAATAATAATATTAAAGTTTTTAAAAAGCAGACAAGTTGGACCAATTTTTTCTTCTTCTAATTTTCTAGAAGGAGATTCCTACTTACCAGTTGTTCCATGGTCATATTTTCCTTAAACTTGTAAATCCACAATGCTAAATATTCTATTGGATCCACCGGGCGAACTCTTGCCACTTCTGCAAGACCTTGAGTTAAACATGCCCCAAGGTGCTTTTGAAGATATATTGACTCCATTTCTAACTCCTAAATAAAAACTCCTAAAAAGTAAGTGTTTTTGCATTAATGCAGGATATCTTCAATAAAGTCACTATAAGACTAAAGTCCAGTGAGTTGAACAAAGCCTTACATACACCCTGCCCTGAGTCATGTACACCTCCTGTTGGGCGTGTCACAAGCAAGCTGGCCCCAGGAAACTTCTAATAGTTTCCAAAAGGACTCCACAGAAGTCACTACAACTAACGTGGTTTCAAAAATCCTGAAGGACTCTCAAGTCCAAGAGTCAGAAAAGAGATATTATCATTATTGATTTCAAGTTTACTTGATGCCAAGTAATGTGGGTCTCATTTAATTCTCACAACATACCTGAAAAATAGGTATCATGATCCCAATGGGAACATGAGCAAGCCCAGGCACAGAGAGCATAAGTGCATAGTTCAGGATCACACAGCTGGCAGATGAAGGAGACAGAGTTTGTACCCACCTCCTGATTCTAAAACCCTAACCCTAAAGACTACACTAAAATGTCCCTCCTAAGCCATGAGAGCCATTTTTACAAAGCATCACAATAGTCCACCTTTTGAAAAAAAAAAAAAATCCATAAATTTCCAAGGCCAAAGAATAAAAACTCAGCCTCCAAATAATAACATATGAAGCTCCTCACAATCTGGCCCCAATTTTCTTTTCAGGTTCACCTCCAGACATCATCTCTCCTGGCCCCAGCACACCCTGGGCTCTAACTCCATGGACATCCTGCCATTCCGATGACCACCCCTTGCACATTTCCATCTCCATGACTCTTGTACATGATGATCCCTCACTCTCCTCTCTCTCTCTCAAAAGATCTCCTCCCCTGCAAGGTAGAGAATCATTTCTTTTTTTTTTTTTTTTAAAGTTGATTTATTTAATGTAATTTCAAACAATTATGAATAATGCAATGTACAGTAGAATCACATCCTGATTTTATTTAGTAACACTGACCAAGTTTAACTCCATATGAAGTGTAAAGCTTGATACCATTTATGATGTCTATCAACTGTACCAAAAGTAAAACATTTAAAAACAACCATCTGAATGTCAAGTTTTTTCTCCATAAAGGACTTGCCACCTTAAGGGCCCCACGTCTGCCTGAAACATGAGCCACATTAATGCCGGTAAAGGCCTGTATAACCTAGTCTGCATCCTGGAAACCTCTTCTGCCTGGGGCCCCCCACACTAGCTGGTCTCCTGAGAGAGGGAGCAGGCAGGTTCTGGGAGTTAAGCACACGTTTGAGCAAGCAGCACAATAATCCATCTTAAGAATCCTCATTCTGGGATGGCTCCACAATTCCTAAACAGCAGTCTGCAAACTCCACAAACAAGGGCTCTTGCATGTAGGCTCTCATGAGCTTTGCTTTGTCTTCCCCCTGATCGAGGTTGACCATCAACTGCCTGAGGTGTGGATTGAGCAATAAGCTTCTTAATGTTGCAGATTCTCCTAAATTCTTTAAATTCTGCAAAGAAACTCTGTCTTCTTCCTCATCACTATTGAGAAAATCAGCTATAGAGTCATCATCATCTTTGTTTTCCACAGGCTTTATGGTTTTGGTAGGAAGAGCTGATCTTATTTTTTTCTCAACAGGACAAGCTTCAGGGTTGCACTGTTCTTTGTGCTTCTGGAAGCAGGCTACAGAGCAGTAGGGCACGCGGCAGGCCGGACAGCGGTATTTGGGCTTCTCCAAGCAGATCACGCAGACCACGGTGCTACATCTGAGTGACGCCATGGTCTTGGGGAAGGAGACTGCTTCCCGCGCCGCTGCGCGCGCCTCAAGAATCATTTCTTATTCCCTGAGCTTTCCCAGGCAACCCAAAGAAGTTCCTCTTGCTCCAAGCAGCTTACACAGCATTTACCACACTACCACAGAGAATTACACTATCTCTGTGTGTGTGTGTCTGTCTTCCCACTAGAAGACAAACTCCTCTAGCTGCTTGAAGAGTGTTTTAATCACAGGGCTGACACAGCTGTTTCTCCATGGTGGCAAGGGAATGAATTTCTCCACTCTCCCAGTTATGTCCTACTCCTTCCAGTTATGAAGATAAACAGGAATAATCATAGACCAGATTGTTTTTAAAACAGAAAAGGGAAAACGCAGCAACCAATCTCTTTCAGGTGCTTTGGAAAAACTGATCACCCTCAGATTACCCTTAATATTTTAAGAAATCCAGACTCTACTGATAATCTGATGAAATGTAATCAATTGTTCAACAAATGTATAATGAATATTTGCTGGGTGCAATGGCTCACACCTGTAATCCTAGTACTTTGGGAGGCTGAGGTGGGAGGATTGCCTGAGGTCAGGAGTTCGAGACCAGCCTGCCCATAGTGGTGAAATGCTGTCTCTACTAAAAATACAAAATTATCCAGGTATGGTGGCACATGCCTGTAATCCCAGCTACTAGGAAGGCTGAGGCAGGAGAATCACCTGAACCCAGGAGGCAGAGGTTGCAGTGAGCTGAGATTGTGCCATTGCACTCCAGCCTGGGCAACGAGTGAAACTTTGTCTCAAACAAACAAACAAACAAACAAACAAATACCTGTTATATAGGTCAGGCACCATGATAGGTACTGGGAATACAAAACTATTGTGGCTTGAATGTCTGTGTCCCCAAAAATCCATATGTTGAAATCCTAACTCCCAATGTGATAGTATTACGAGCCTTTGGGAAGTGATTAGATCATTAGTGTGGAGCCCTCATGCATGGGATTAATGCCCTTATAAAAAGAGACGGGAGAGCTTGCTCTCACTCTCTGCCATCTGAGAATAAAACTAGAAGACAGCCACCTGCACACCAGGCAGAGGGTCCTCACCAGACACTAGAAATGCCAATGCCTTGATTTTGGACTTTCCAGCCTCTAGAATGATGAGAAATAAATGTGTACTGTTTTTAAGCCACCCAGTGTTGGTAATTTGCTACAGCAGTCCAGACTAAAACAAAAACAGTCTCTGCCTTCATGGAGCTTACAGATGAGAAGGGAAGATAAATATTTAAATCAATAAATATGAAATTGAAGTTAAAATAAGTACTATGAGACCAGAGGAGAGGAGGAGCTGATCAAGTCAGGAAAGTTTAAAAAAAAAAAAAAAAAAAAAAAAAAAAGCTTCTCTGGGGGTGACATTTGAGCTAAGCTCACATTTACCGAAGGAAAAAAAAAAAAACAGTAAAATTAACATGACAAAGAACAGAAGGAAGAGTCTTCTAGGTATAAGGAAAGGCCCTGATATAGGAATGAGCATGGCAATTATAAGGGATAGAATGCCACTGTGTCTAAACCTGTCCCTGGACAAATGCACCTAGCATTTTGCATAAAAGTTCAGAGACACTGACATCTGGGGGTCCGTCCATAACCCCCAATTTTTATTCTATGGAAAAATTCAGTGTTTCTGAAATTTTATGCATAACCATGCGCATATGCCATATGACACTGGTGAGAAGGCAAAATGGTGTAACTCCTATGGAGGAGAATTTGACAACATCTAGAAAATCACATATGCATTCACCCTTTGACTCATCAATCTTGCTTCTTGGATCCTATCTCAAAGATATAGTTGCAAAAATATGAAATGGCATATGCACACAGGTGTTTGCAGCATTATTTACAATAGTCACACTGAAGCACCATCTAAATGTTCATCAAATTGGGGATTAATAAGAGCAACACAATGGATTATTATGCAGATGTACAAGAGAATGAAGAAACTAAAGAGTGATCTCTAAGACACAAAATAAACAAGGTGCTGAAATTGTATATCGTCCGTCATCTTTTGCATTAGCAACAGCAGTGGGGAAAGGAATATGTGTATATATAAACATAGTCATAAAAACTCTAAAAACTGAAAACAAACTGGCACAAATGAACCTAATTCCAAATCAGGTTGATACTGGTGTCTTAACCACACAGAGAAAAGAATTGTTACAACTGACTTTGGAACACAGGATCTTCACTGTATTTCTTCAGTAGGATATACCTGAAAGACCAAAACGCTACAAAGACATGTCAAAGTCATTTGAAGTAAAAAAAAAAAAAAAAAGGGAACAGACTCCTGTTACTGCTCCAGAAAGATAAAATGTGGGAAGGTAGGAAGGGGGCCATTATCCCCAAAGAGAAAACTTCTGGCCTACCAGTGGGGCCAAGTCAGGGGAGGCTCTGTCTCGGATTTCTGGGCATATCAGTGGGACCCAGGCAAGGCCTGCCAACTCCCTTAGCATATTCCTGTCCGTGAAACGAGGATAATACCCATCTCTCCTGTGGTAAGCAATGTTATTTTTCATATACACCAATAGGCATCTTGGCTCAACATAAGAAAGCCGTTTCCCACAGAAACAGCTGCCTACAGCCTGAAGAAGGTGCCACAGAGATGGAAGGAGGTTCCTTACCCACACCTGGGAGACAGCCAGCCGACTGGGCAGGGGCACCTGGGCAGGGGTGCCAGACTTCTCAACTAAAAACCCAGCTCGCCCAGGTGACTCTGAATTTCAGATAACGAATAACTTTGCATGATACTATATTTGTACTGAAAAGTAACTCGTTTATCTGAAATTCAGTTACCTGCGCATGCGGTACAGTATTGTATCTGGCAACCTCCCGGGGCGCTCGATGTGGTTTTCCCACCCGGGAGTCTGGAAGAGTCTCCCGCAGCCCGCAGGAGACAGAGACGCAGCGCTCCCCGCTCAGGACGAGCAGGAGAAGGAGAGCCGGCTGCTCTCGGGAGCCCCAGGCGCGAAGCGGCCTCCTTCCGCCTACAGGTGAGTCCTGCTCGACGCCCAAGGCCCAACGGTCAGAACCGCCTCTGCCCGCCGGACCCAGCGAAGCTAGAGGAACAAATCTCAAAAACAGTTCGGGCCTTCCCGGTGCGCACACCCGACACGCGCGCCCGCTAGCCACCCGGGAGCCGCGTCCCGTTGCCAGGCAACGAGAGCGCGCGCCTCAGGAGCCCGTGTAGGTGAGCAGAGGGCGCGCAGTGGGCGGCAGAGGGGGAACGCGCAGCAGAAAGCGGGGGCCGTGAGGGGTCGCGCTGCAAGGAGGAGGGGGTGTGCAGGAGCAGTAGCGCACGGCTGAGTAGAGGGGCCGCGGCCGAATGGAGGGGGCGTGCAGGGGTAGGAGCGC